CAACAAGCCGAGCAAGCCGAGTTCCAAGAGCCAGAGCATCTTTCAACGGATGGAGCTCTGCCTTTTTCGGGCTCCGCCGGAGCGTCGTCTGGCGATGAGGAAGCTCGCTGCTTCAGGGCCTGATACAGCCGCAGTCCTTCTTGTCGAAAGTGCTCTCCCTGAATCGGGTCCTGCCGGAAGGGAAGTTCGGAAGTACAGAGCAAAGCAAAACCGTCTCGGCACACTTGTCCTGGAAGATCCCCAGCTCTCCCTTGAGGTAGATTTCCTGGGATCGTGGAGTTGCATGCTTATCCTCCTCCTCCTCGTACTACGACTTCGACTGCAATTTCAACAGCACGATCACGAGAAGTAGTGTGGCGGTGGTGGAAGAGTCAGTACTGCTACGGCTGTCACCATGACGACCACTAGTATGGTTGCAACGAGTACGACGCAGCATTTAAACTTCTTCAGGGAGATCTCCCTTCCGAGTTCTGCCTGGCTTCCGCAAGATGCATTGATGCCAAGGGGTGGCCCTTGTCTTTGGCTCTCTTCAGCCACTTGACCGCACCACGGTCTCCGCCTCAGGATTGAAAACTCAGCTCGCAGATTCCTGTGCCGTCTGCTCTGAAGGGTGGCTTTGCCAGTTTGACTCTGCAGGTGAGCCACGGGTTCGCAGAAAGAGACCGAAATCCAACATGGCCTGGCAGCAACTAACGAAGCTGCCACGAGTTCCCAAGATAAGCCCTGTGCCTGCAGACCGCGCTTGTTTGCCTCCACAAAGAGTCCTTGGCTGCATATCAGTTCTGCTCTGACTTCGTCGCACTACCCGGATATTCAGACAGCTGGCGCTGGTAGACCTCATCTTTGTCCTGTGCCAGAGGTGCTCTGCCGTCGAAGTCAGACAGCCTGTACTCACCAACCAGCTCGTCTCCTCGAGTTGCTATCCCACAAAGCAGCCCTGACCCTTCCTGCCCTTTTGCTCTGAGACTTTACTGCTCTTCCCAGAGTCGAAGCGAATGCTCTGCCGGAGTATTCCCCGGGCGGTGGAATGTGACCTTCAGAGCTTCAGTTGAAAGCCAGTCTGTACGTCCCAAACCCAAGACATCCCAAGACCCTCTGTAGTTGAAAAACGATTCTGTGGAGCCAGGACTCGTAAAGCAAGCGTCGCCGTCGTCCGCCTCGCTCTGCAGCGGCTTGGGCACCGCCACAATGTAGCAGCCTCAACTTTCAGGGCTGAGACGGGATGATGGATCTGATCCGCAGCGAAGCCAAGTTGCTGCGAATTCATGATGATGGCCGTTCCGGTCGAACACTCTGCAGAACTGGCTCCAAACCTTGCGAAAAAAAGCAAGGAGTCTGGACCTAATCGCAGCTTACCGTCAGGAGAAACTACGATTGTCCCAATTCTCTGACCGGCAGCTGTTGCAGGAGGATCTCTCCCATATCGCGGGGTTTGCTGGACTGGAGTGCTGCTCGCAGCGCCATCAAGCGAAGGTGACCTTTCCGATTGCACCGCACGAAGTGTGCACACCAGTGCAACCCAAAACGACCGGACCTTACCCATGATGCGAATACTACCAAAAACCGAAAAGGCTTCCCATCATTTCCAGCGACTTTCCGCTGTGTGGGAACGGGGGCAAAGCCAGGTCGGGCCCATGGCCCTGCTTATGTCTTGCAAAGACACGAACCTTTTCAACTTTGTCAGGCGGCAACTCATATCTGAGAAAGGCATGCCACACAAAGCTTCACGTCGCTGGTTATGTGCAGTCGTGCGACACCGTGAAGAGTGGCAAGATCGCACTGTCGAGGATCTTCCTGAGCCAGACGAGGCAGCTCACCATCATCGCTCTTCTTCGGCTTAAAGGTTCCAAAAAAGGGCCCTTGCACGTCCCAGTCACGTGTCAGCATGCAGCGGCTGCTGCTCTGCATCCGCATCGGTGATCATGCAGGACAGGTCCACCAAGGGAGCCTCACCTGCTTCCCCGTCACCGACATTTTGCGAGCAAACCTTTCCGTCGTCTCTTGCACCCCGAGGCCGCCACGGGAGAGGAAAGGCTCAAGGATGGGAGCCACGAGTGCACAAAGCGGTTCAAGAACTTCCCGAACCTTCAGGGAGCTTTCCCCTACCCCCCCCCCCTTTCCCACTCGCCTTTCTGAAGCTATGACAGGCGTGCAGTCAACTCCTACTCATGGAAGCGTTGGAATGGAGACCGCGCGGCTTGGCCTACGACCCACCAAAAACAAGAGCTCCTTGATTGCTGTTGAGCCGTAGTCCCCCCCCCTCCATGCCCAGCCTCCGACACTAAGGGCAGGGTCAACTCGATCCGATCCTGCCAAGAGCGTCGGACAACTTCTTTTTTTCTGAGCGCACAGACCCACCCCAAGAGCACGTAGGGCCAGCTCCTGCTTTCCTTCATGCACCAGCTTGCGAAAGTACCTCGCAGATAGCAGGCACCTAGGACGCGGGCTTTTCCGCACTGCCGCTGACACATTTCCTTGAGAGGGCACCGTTTCATGAGCCCAGATCTGATCCTCGCATCGGAGGCCTTTCATCATGGCCATCGCGACACGACTGCCTGACGAGGCGAGTGAAGCCGGCCTGGTTCACTTCCTGGTGTGCAGATGCCAGGGCGCAGTCAACCTCAAGGTGCAATCTTAAAGAAGCCACCCTTACAAATGTTGAAGCTTTTGGAGGCATCTGCTCAGAAACTGCCGAGGCACAAATTCTGCCAATCTTTGGCAGGCGTGTGCCGACACGGCACTTTCGATGAGAAGACAGCCCTGACGTTCGAGAAGAGGCAGCGCAAGCATGTTGACCGCGAGTCACAGACTGCCTCTTTGTCCAAGGTTTGGATGGCATCTTCCAGGCGTGGCGGCACATCTTCGCTGCAGACCCAAGGAAGGGGCACAGCACTTCTTGGTGCCGGCAGAGCAGCCTGCAGAGCCCAAAAATCCCTTCACGGGCTGTCTCCGCGTCACAGGCAGAGATTTCCAAAGCCTCGCAGATGGCCTTGCTTCCGGCTTTGCATTTCACGGTCGTCTCTATGCCTTTCGTCTGCACAGAAGCACCCATGCCACAGTACATGCTCGGGAGTCCTGGAGCGCCCCAGGCGAAAGGACCGCTCAGCCAACCTCGGCTCCGCTCGGCTCGCGCTTTGGGGGTGAACGCTGCACAGCGCCTCGCTGAGCAGAAGACTCCAGAAGGAACCGCTCCACTCAGGCTCGGGTCTGCGACGCTCCAGGTCGGCTCCTGGTAGCGGCCGGAGGTTTGATGGATCTTGGTGGCTTCGGATTCGCGCCGATGCCTCACTTATAAAAAAGCGACATTCACCTGAAGCGAGCGCCTGGGCAATCGAGAAAATCCAGCAAGGGCTTCGAATGGAGCACACCACCTCCAAGGTTTTCACTTTCAGCTGGGCAAGCGCCCGTGCAATACTTTCGTGCAGGATGCCGTGATATGCTGCACCAGAAGAACATGTCAGAGTCAATACGCCTGGTGGGAGCCTCTGCAGGATCTGGGCCAGTTTTTGCTTCTTGGGTGTTGCTCTTCGTGCGGTCTGTCTATCTATCTATCTATCTATCTATCTATCTATATATATATATATATTTATATTTATATAAACAGATATAGATATATATACATACATACATACATACATACATACATACATACCCCGTTGATACTATTCTTCGCAGATTCAGCTCGGTGAAATGCTCTCCGATTGGACATTGCGATTATCCGAATGAGCTCGCTGCTCGTGGCTCACGTGTCTCAGTGCAGCATCTGCGAAGCTCCGAAGTTTACACATCATTCCACAAGCCCCCAATGGCTAGCAAATCCGAGCAGATCAAGTAAAAGGCCATGCACTAACATCCCCCAGCACTTTCGGCACCTTCCGACCGGGTATATCCATCCTGGTTCGGCGCTGCCATTGCCGCCATGACGCCGCACGTCTGTGCTCCGCAAAAGGTCCGGCATGTGAAAGCGTGAAATGCTGGGTTCCGAAGTGCCGAGGAAGCTCGAGTCGATCAGGGCTTCTTACGCCTTACGCCATCTCGGCTTGAGCAAACTACTGAGCGGCCTCACCAGTTGAAGCTCCATGCATCCTTGCATTCCAACTTCGAAGGGGCAGGATCTCAACATTTTGTTCAATTCGGCTCTTGCGTCATGGTGGTTTGTCGCAATGGCATCACATCGGCTGCCGTGCTGCAGAGCTACTCTCGGCGCATTCGTACATCACCGAACCTCGACGCGGGCGCTGCTGGGATCGCAAGTGCCATCATCTCCCCAGCTTAATATGGGGGGATATTGTACTGGTACACATGCAGTGCCGGCTGACTTTCTCTTGCCACCATGATTTCGTGGCTCATGAAGTAACACTGCAACACTAGACTCAAGGACTATGAAGCCTCCGGCATGCAAAGGTTGTTTCAGATTGCAAACACGGAGATTCGAAGTGTGGGGCCCGCTGGCACGACTTGCACGGGTGCCCTCCAGGATTCGAATCTGCGTCAGACTCTCCCATTAGGCTGTACAGAATTTCGATTAAGGGACAAGTCATGGGCCGTCTCCTGAAGCACCAGTCTAGAGTGAGGATTTTGGGTTCTATATGGGTTCCTTCGAGGCTTTGTTTCTGTAAGGGCAATATATTAGGACCTCAAGTCCATCAAATGCTCTTGGTCTCGGGAAACATTGAACCAGTGATTTGTCCACATTGCCATGTTGACTCTAGGATCCGTGCAACTGCAAGTGAAACCATGAAACATGCGCCCAGCTTGTTCAAATGATTCTTTGGGCATGTCTGTCCTAGAAAACTTGGCAGAAGCCTCCCTCTCTTGTGACATGTTGTGGCTCTGCTGCCTCGCGGTGCCTTTGCAGGCTTGCGTTGTGAAATTGACGTCCGCCAGAACCCAAAACAGAAAACATTGCTGCTCTGAAGGGGAGGCTTCGGATCCTTTTTAGATGAAAGGAGTAGCGGAGCTGGAGTCTCGGGAGCCGGAGACATTCCAAATCCACCTGGTCATCCTTGAGCAGGGCCTGGCACAGCAAAATCCGTTTTAACGGACTCTTCTCACAGCTTTCTTGGCCCGAGTCGATCGGACTGCTAAGATCAAGAGTGCCAGTTTAGCGCCGCTTTAGGCCCAACCCTGCCGTGCCTCGCCGCCTTCTCATTCTTCGTCCACCCTGTACAGCAAAAAGGCTTCCATGGCCATGACCCCGCAGCCTCCCGGCATCTCCACAAGGCACCTTGCCATGAGACCTCCAGGAGATCTCGGAGGGGACCAGGAAGGCATCCTTCCAGGGAAAAAAGGATCAGGAACAGCTTCATCTAATTTTTTTTTTAGGGCTTTGGGCCTCTGGGCCACCAGAGGGTTTCGTGAAGTTCTGCGGCCCCACGGGCACGATCACAGGGCCTGATTCGCCCATCCCCACGGCCTGCCAAAAGCACAGCTTCTGCACCGCTTTACATCGTTTCGCATGCTTCTCTCCCTTGGATCTCACACTCCTTTTCCGTAGCTTTGTACGGCATGCCGCGGGCGGGGCGCCCAGGCTGCCAGGGCCGAGTCCGTCCGGCTCCGCTCGGCTACACCGCTCCACCCGCTCCGCGCCTCTCTCATCGCTCCTCGGCCTCCGACTCATCGCGCTGATGCTCGGCCGAGACGCAGCGAGAGCACATGCACAAGAATCCGTAGTCTTGCTGCAAGAGCTTTCGACGCTCTTTCTGCTCCAGGTCTGGAAGCTCTCGGATGTAGTCGATCGTCAGCTCCTCACCCTTCTTCACGCTCTGCTTCGTGCGCAGTGACAAGACGGGGACGGGAGCAGCGTGAATTTGCCACTCGGTGTTCGGCTGGCAACTGTGGTTCAGCCTTGATCCCTTTACGAACAGAGCCTGCGATCCAAAATAGAAAAGTCTATAGCACACGGGGCCAACTATGGCAAAGAACAGAACACCCGCAGCGAGAACAGACTTTACGTATTGTGCCTGGTAGCGATATGCATATGCACAGCCAGTTATTGCGCTGAGCAGTGCCGGACAAACGACTACGTGTAGTATTTGGTTGCGGTGGTCGTCAAGCGAGTCACAGTAGTGAAAGCCGCATGTGTCCCAGATCTGCAGGTGTTGCTTCGCAGTCAAAGGTGAAGCGTCCGGTGGACTGGCGGCAGCGGCAGTCTCGTCAGGATCCCTGCTACTTCTGTTTCTCAGCTGGCTCCTCGTGCTTTCACCAGCTTCTACCTTGCAGTTCGGGGCCTCACAAACTGGATATAGGGATCTATACTGGGACTTTAAGTCCATCGCCAGCGTGTCGTACTTGTTCTCGACCTTCTCCCGGCGGTAAACGATCACACCAGTGAGTATCATCCAGGTCTTCACGAACACTAGCGCCGGCTCTTCAAACAGCAGCATACCAGGTTGGAAGTCTCTCTTCGCTACAACCGCACGTCCACGACCCTCCACCTCCCGAATCTCAAGGAAAGGACCAGTATCCATTGGGAAAGGAATCGGGATGGGATAAGGCGGCAAAGGCTGTTAGGCGATGTCAGGTGCCAGGATGTGCCAGGCATGTCCGGGTCAAGCTTCAAGCTGCTTGCTGTGCGGTTGGGATGTCGCACCTGCCATAGAAACAAGCTCGGAGCCCATTGCAGCCACGTCGAACAACGTAGGGCAAGCTTCAGGTGGAGGGTACCATGTTGCGAAGAGTACTTGCAGCCCATGCTGTTTCAAAGGGAGAGAAGGGGTGGTTCTTGGGATGGAAGATGATGGAAGTCCTGCATGCCTCGAACGTTGTACTGTCTGGTAGGATGGGGGCGATCGAACTTGGAAAACCACGCCTCAAGGCCTCGAGGAGCCCAAGGCCAACTCACACCAGCAAACCAGTGCAAGCCCATGCCTCGCGGAAACTGCCCCCGGAAGGAGCGCCCTTGGGGCTCCACGCACACGCGCTTTCTAGTCGGCCACCTGAAGAAAAGGGTCAAAGCGGCCAAGGCAAAGAAAGGCAAAGTGAGGCAAAGAGGCCGAGACTCGCGCGGGCCATGGTCATCTGCTTCCAGAACCGTGGCCTCTGCTCGCAGGGGGCGCGAGCATAGCGATTCCAAGCTAGCATGCTGTCAAGTAGCTCTTTCCCTCGGCGTCGCTGCCCCTCGGACGAAGAGCAGCCATAGGTACTTTAGTAAACTCCAGTGCCATCCAGTACCCCTGGTCTAGCAGTCCAATCGGAGAAAGCCTTCTTTCTAAGCATTCCGCCGTCTCCTCGCGGCCAGAGCCATGATGGGATCCCACGGCGCTGGCCGAGTCGGAATCGGAGAGCTTCGAGGAGAGGCCACGACAGGAGCCTCAAAAACGAGAAACAGAAAGGCTCGAAACGAGTTAGCGGAACTGAGCGCTTCCAGAGGCGTGCCTGATGTGTCACTGCCCAAGCCCCAAGACTCAGAGCCCGAAGGCTGGGAAGATGCTCGGCACTCCTGTGCGCACAAGAACTTCGGCACTTTTCTGAAATTTGGCTGTGGTTAAATGCTGCTAGGATTCGGAGGCACTTCCATCCATTGGCGAAGCTAGATGCCATGGCGAGGAGACATGCACCTTGATCAACATCCCTTGCAGAACAGTGGAATCTAATATTATGCTCCGCAAACAGAGGCCCAAGCATATCCCTGCAGCGACGTTCCGTGTGCGGCACTGGACATGACCTGATCTCTGCGACTCGAAGCTCGGATTCTACACGGCATCCGCTTGAAGCCGTGGCCGTCGAGGATGCCGAGCCATGCGGTGACGATGCTGGAGTACCTTCGTCTCGACCACATCTGAGTCGCATTACAACTCCAGATGAGCCTGGCCTGTGGTGCTCGACGCCGCGTGTCCGGGCACGCTCGGCGCAGGACCTGGCACGGGCACAGTTCCGCGAGAGCACGAGCACCGCGCCTCCTCAGGGCAGCGCAGGCAGGGCCCAACAGGCCAGAGGCAGGATGGCCTTTTTTTGCGAGAGCACCGCCGTCTCACCATGTCAACTTCACACTTGGCTGCCGACCCATGAGAGGCGACCATCCCAAAACAGGTCCGACATCGTCGTGGGGTGGCTGGTAATCCACATCAAAGGGAACCTCCTGTGGTTGCAGCGCGCAGGGCCATGCCGCTCACAAGCCACGCTCAGAAAGGATGACCAAATTCAGAAGCGAATCAAGCAAAGTCTCCTCATTCACAAAGGAGTGCTGCAGCGCCTGCGGTTCAAAAACTAGACATGTACGAGACCAAGAACACATAACTTCTGTCGGCCTGCTTGGCTGTCCAGCGGCACTTGGGGTTGATCTGGAAGAGACCCGTCAGGAACTGAAGAAAGCACGAGCGGCTTTCCTGCAACTAGCTTTCATCCCGACAACTCTTGAATGCGTGTCCGAGTGTCTGAACACATCTGAGCGCTGTCACTTGTCACACTGTGTCACTCTGTCAACAAGGTCAAGTTTAGTTTCCGTCGAAGTATGCTGAATGATCAGGAACCTTGTGGCAGGATTTAGAAGGAACTAGCTTCTGCAGAGGCAGTGGTGCCAAGAGCTGGTGGCAAGAGCTTGGAGGGGCAAACCGGACAGACTGTCAAAACCGCTTCAGTAGGGTCGCGACGACGCACAGCACGGACAAGAATGTAGGAGCACGGCGTGCGCAGCTTTATTGAACTGAAAGAACAGAAGAAGGCGGCAAGGCTGCTTGAGAATGCTCTGCCGCTGCCCGTCCTCACTCACCTGAGCTACGACTTCTTCCAAGGACCTCAGACGTAAGCCAAAACCTGACTAAGCAACCGTTTAGCGTCAAAATACACTCGGCCCGGGCGTGAAGGGCCAGCTCCGCTTTGAGAACACCTCTGGTGCCACGGCTCTTCTCGGGAAGATGTCCAAGAAAAAGCAGCCTGAGGCTTCGGCTGCCTTCTTGTTCGAGTCCTTCTCGTACTCCTCACCTCGTCGCATCATGCCCGAAAGTCAGTCCAAAGTTCAGCGGTGCTGATTGAAGGACTACTCTTGCCAGGGCACTCGTTTTCAGTCTCCAGGAATAATGGACTTTCCGCTTGCGCTCAGCAAGACTTCTTCTGGACGGCTCCTCGCAGATGCTTTGAATCAAGCACTTCTCGGACCTCTCGTTCAACAAGGCTCTGTGCCGTGGTTGGCCTAAGTCGTTACTTCGTTACAGCTTCATCTCTCCTGGTCCTGGCCAGCACTTTCTCCGCCTGCCGGCATCTGCACTCCGCACATGGAGTCTGCATCTATTGGCGCTTCTAGGATACCACCACGCTTGACGAGGAAGGGCAGGCTGCAAAGAGAAAGCTGCTGGCAACAAGCTTGCCTGGCAAACTCGGCGGAAGGGTGCTATCCTGCAGATTCTTCGATCTGCATAAGAAGTATCCAGGTCGTCAGATTTCGGCAGTCCTCGGAGCTCTCGTGACTCCCGGCGGTAGTTTGCGTTGAAAGCGTGTCTGAGACCTTCCAGCTCTCTCAGAGAAAGCAACTACACTTGTGACTAGAAGCACCTCGACCACATCGACAGAGCCACTGAGCCCTGGCATTGCTGCAAAGGGTGTCTACGAATTATGCTTGAAAGTGCAAGCTCGAGGGTGCGGCAAGACGTTTTGAAGGGGAGTGGCAAGCAAAGCCAGACAAATTGTATTTCCACAACAATGTCCAGAAGACCAGGAGGGGCCGGAAACACCAAAGCTGAGCCAGTCGAAAACCCCACAGTGGCTTGCGGCTTTGACGTCTGGGGCTAGGGTGGCGGCCGAGGGGAGCGGCTGAGGGGCATGTCGGCAGTCCGTCATAGAGGTCCGAAGCTGTAATGATGGCTCTTGGGGCTTTGGAGCTCGAGGGTTGGATATTGTCTGATGCCTTGGGGATTTGTTGGCAAGGTACATTGCTTTCCAGCCCATGCCTTAAAACGGGTCCGTTTGAGGGATCTACACCCCCCAATTCTTCCCCGCCGTAAGACCTAAACCCTAACGCCTTAAGCCCCAAGCCCTGAAACCCGAAACGGGTGCGTCTTCCCCCTTTCTCTACGACGACTCCGTTAGCTCCGGGAGGATGGGAAAAAGAGAGGACTCCATGAAAGCCTGAAAAGCTCAGGGTCAAGGGTTTAGGGTCTACCTGGCACTGAAAGCTTGCGGTAGCAAAATTTCCAGAAGATCGCCTCCCAGGGCTAGCGGCAGGTCGTCGTCCTTGCAACCTGCGCCCTCCTCGCGCCGGAAGTACCTCACGCTTCGGCTTCGCTGTGGAGACTCTACATGACACCTGCTTGGACTTGGACCCTCCTGCTCCGGCCTTTTGGTCTTGCTGCCCATGCTGAGCATCTCTGCAGGAGGAAGGCCAAGCAGCTTGGTAATGCTGCGAATCTGGTCATACTCGCACTGCCCTCAGGACGGCGATGGACCATGGAGAGAGTTCACCAGAGTTTAGGGCATCCCATGGCCAGGGCCTGTGAAGAGCGGCAACCCAAGGTTCAGCTCTGCGCAGATGCAGCCCAAGCTCCTTGGGTTTCGTTTCGGCTCGGGCTGGCCAGAAGGAACGGCTATGGACAGCTGCAGCTTGGAGACCACAAATCAATGGCGCTTGAGTATGGCAGGCCCAAGAGCACCTCTGGAGACCTCGAGACCAAACAGGGCAGCTCAGCATAACATCCCAAATCATGTCAAACACTCTTGGTGCCCCACCGATAGAAACGCGACTGGATGTAGGTGTGCATCATGTGAAACTCTGCACACGCCGAACCAAAATCAATCAGCTTGATCCTGCCCAAGGTGATGGACAGCAGCGCTCCAGGCCACATGCAAACAGGGACAAGCCAGGTCCTGATGGGATCGAGAGTGCAGACCATGACATTCCTCAAAACGGCCGGTGTGCAGTGCTGAAGCTACTCGTATCAGATGACTGCACCTGACGACGACCCACGCCAAATCGGTCGGGCAGCTCAGGCTTGAGATCACAGTGTATCAGCGCAGCATCCCGCAAGCACTGCAAAGCCTTGCAGCATGTAAAATTAGTGTTGCAAAGTCTCCAAACAAGCCAAATTCGCAGTCGAGATAAACTCCTTGAGATTGTCCGAACGACCATCGTGGTTTAGCTTTCGGGGTGTAGAAAGGCTTGTGGCATGCAACGGAACACAGCGATGCTGACGATGGAGCAGGTAATGCAAACACCAGGTTTTGGGCTTGCATGGAAACGGCCACCCCTGATCCTGGCACAACCCTGCCAGACGCCCTGGTAGAAGCAAGTCCCGAAAGAGCAAAACAAGAAAGAGGGCCCCAAAAACACGATACTAATAGTCATAATAATAGTAATAACAATCATAGCCAAAGTCACAATAATCATTAATAACAATAATGATAAAGTGATAATGATAGAAATACTTTGGTGCAAACTCCTCTGCTCGTCGACCGACGAAACTGTTGTTGTGTGTAATGCCTTTGGCACTGGTTTTGCACACAGACTCCGTTATCTGTTCTTCTTACTCTTCGAATCCGCAGGCAAGGCTTGGAGCTAGCTTCTCTCTTCCTCGAAGCACCAATTAGACTCAGAAAGCTGCCGCCGCGCATCCGTCCCACTCCTGGTAGCGGTTCCCCCACCAACCTTCACCCTGCTGAGTATGAGTAAACATCCCTCGTTCCATGCCCCCCGATGCTTGACAGCTGTCTTTCTGTCTCTCTCTCTCTCTCTCTCTCTTCATGGTCCCTGGATGTCTGGGGTTCATCCGTTTGCGTGCGCATGATGCATCCTGCTCGAAGACCGCTTCCGCCTTCAGCAGCTGCTTCGTGACTGTCTGGATCGTAGGCATCGCCACACGGCGGTACTTGTTCCATTTCAGGAACTCCAGCAGGTTCATGCTTAACCTTGCCACAGAAACTCGCGCAGAAGTTAGTGCTCGATGCAGGCATGCTGAGGCCCACACAGCTCGAAGGCAATGCAGAGGTGCTTCCGAAAAACGAAACAATCCAGCATTCGAACGATGTGCTGCCTCAGATGGTGGCAGCGAGACGGGGCAAAAAAGACGTTTGCAAGGTGTGAGGAGTAAGCCAGGCCAGGCCAAGGCGCGTGTCGAAGCAATTTAGTCTCTTCAAGACGTTGGCTTCGATGCAGCCCTGTTAGCAGGATGCTCTCACACGGCCTGACTATTGTGGTGCTGGCCTGGTTGAAATAGGCCGGCTTGTTTTTGCTGATTTTCAGCGCAACTGGCCTTGACGGCAGGGCTCAGAGGAAGGCACGAGCGCTTCTTTCCCGACGCTATTTTAAGTGCAAGGCGGAGAACCATCGACTTGGCACTTCAGCACTTGGCCAAAGCTGCCCTGACCTACAGCTGCAAGCTTGAGCTCGACGCGAAGCTTCCCGCAAGCATGTTCTGCGCTGTCTTTTCTCCTCTCCTCTCCGCGTCTCAGAGGATGAGCCCAACACCCAAGTTCTCGATGATCTCATAAGACTTTCCAAATTCCTGGCTGTCGTTCACGATTTTGTCTCCAACATGGCCTTGGGACAAAGCAGACTACAACATCTCGTACCTCGCATGGCCCTGCGACTCACAGTCAGCTCTGATGACTTCCAACAGCACAGGAAAGCACGGCGTTTGAACATCTGAGTGGCAAATGTAGTTGTGTTCCGCGTTGTCAAGTCCTGAATTATGTACACCTTCGCACGGCCAGGTGAGCGTGCGTTTGGGGTTCCTCGGCTGACGTTACCATGCCGACACAAAGAAGACACTCTCTCGTCCCACGTGCAAAAGCAGTCATCGTAGCTGTAGCTGGAGCACGAGCCCGTCGAGTAGGTGAACTCTCCGGAGCCTTGGCTTCTTCGAAGGCACAGTCAGTGTAACTCCGCATGCATGCATCATCCTATGCCCAGTTCATTCGGGGGAGCAGGTACTGTACACTTCGACGACGCGTTCCGTCACCGCCTTCAGGAGTTGACCATGTCTCCGGTCCTCTTCGATTCAAGCTCAGAGACGAAACACGCCGGAACTCAGGGCGTCCTTGGCTCGAGGGCGGTGAGGGAGGTTACCAGGAGGCCGCATATTGCAGCATTTTAGATCCGTGTCCTGAACAGAGGAAAGAAGTTTGCAGCAGCTGCTCACATCCGGCTTCCACCGCTTCATCTGTGCCTCTGCCATTGCCACTACGCCCTGCAGGCTGTAGGTTGGAAAGGAGCCACATCCGAGCCGGACAGCGCCAGAGATGAACAGCGCAGTCAAAAGCTATCAGAACTCAATTGGATGCCAGCCTCCTATGGAGAAACCTGTAAAGAAGACAGCGGCAGCTTTTCCGGCTCGATCAGGTCTGGAGAATCTTGCTAAACGAGACGCCAATCTGCAGGAAGTTGAAGTCCTCCGGAGAGGGCAGCAGTCGCGCAAGGAGTGGAGCGTGAGTCGATGTTTTTCTGGCAGGCATCACTCTTCTCATACATCCTGCAGAGAAATGGAGTGTCGCTGCTCGATGTCACAGGCCTTCGAAACGGTCGTCTCGAAGCAAAAGAGCAATCTGCAACCACTTTGCCTCGAACACCAAATCTGCGCTGCCGGTAAACCTCAGCATCAACAAAGCTAGAAGTTAGGTGGTCTGCTGGAACATCCGAAAGTTGCTGTGCAACAGGCCATCCACTTTTTCTCGCGAGTCGACGCCTCCCGCTCACATCATTGGTCCCCGTAGTGAGCGTTGACGTGCCGATTCGCTTGATCTTCAGGCACTCGCACGCCACAGACTGGACAACAGACACCAGATAGGCGGATCCTTTTGGCACGACGACTAGCAAGTCTTTCAACCACTCGCTTTAAGCAGCCTTTTGGCAGGCTCTGGCTCTGGACAGGAGGGTCTCTGCTCTTGTCTCTTTGATCCTCTTGGGAACTGTCAAGGTCAATCACGTTGGCCTCCTGGATCTGTGGCTTCGGCATCCCGGTGTTCAAATTGTCCGGCCCAGCCCCTGCAGAGGGGCCCTCCTGCTGCTCAGAGCCTTTGGATTGAAAGAAGCTGATCAACTGCTGTCCCTTGTCGAGGGTCGCACGCTGGTCTCTGAAAGAGGACACACGGACTCCCATGAGCCGCAAGTGACAGGGAAACTGCTCTTCTAAAACAGGCTCCAGCAGCTTGTAAAGCTCTTGAGTCACGCGAGCAGTCTCCTGTTCTGCATGCTCCCTGCCGTCTTCTCCTCCTTTCCCAAAGTTGGGACTGAAGCCCACGGGCTGGATCAGACTGATCTGTTTGTTCCGCACCTCAAAGCTCGAGGCCTTGGTTTTCAGTGCCACAACTCGACCCGCAAGAGGTGGAACAGAAGCCGCCATGTCCTGGAGGGGCCAGACCAGAAACTAGAAACCCAAGAGAGTTACTACCGTAGTCTTGCTTTGGGACTCCAAGAAACCGTTGCGGTACCACATGTGAACATGTCATTCTAGCCTGTTCGGCCTGTATACAGCTCTTGCTGTTCACCCATTTCATCCATCCGGTCCTCGCTGACCTGCCTGCAGAGATCGCGCAAGCGTCCACGAAGCTCCGCGGGCTCGGATTCCGCGCGGAAGGTGCGCTCGCAGGACAAGGACTTGCGGGCCACGTTGCCAACCTCTCCCCCCTCCTCGGCCAGCTCATCAGAGGAAAGGCCCAGGCACGCCCGCATAAGAAAGCTGCAGGTCTTTCTTCCCTGAAATGCGCGTTTTACGCGCGCGGCAGCAGCTCGAAGCTCAGCGCAGGTTTGCACACCCAACATGATCGAGATCTGGTTTTCCAGCACCTTCCCACAACCCGGGAGTTTCCGAACCGGTAAACGGTCCATGAACTCCAAGACGGCCTCCCTCGTGGGTAGAACCTGGGATTGGCCGTCCGGCTTTCTCTCGTCCGAAGCTATCTTGGCAACCATCCGATTGGGACCGATGCCGGCCGAGCAAGTAATGCCAGTGCGCGCCTTGACCCGATCTCGCATCTCTTGCACCGCGGCCTCTGCGCTGACCCCGTGCGCAGCCAAGTAATCTGTTAGATCCAAGTACGCCTCATCCAGGGACATGGCTCTGAAGTGCGGATCATACTGCCGGAATATTTCTCTTGTTTCCATCGCCACTTGCGTGTATTTCGCAAAGTTTGGCGTGATGAAAACAAGCTCGTCCGGCGGCATCTTGGATCCAATGGCGGCCGGATTTCTGACCATTTCAACTGCGATGAAGCCTGGCATTGCAGCTCGGACCCCGTACAAGCGCGCCACATAGTTAGCAGTGGATATCATCCCCAATCCTCCGATAGCTACAGGCTTTGATGCCAGGCTTGGCTGATCTCGAATTTCAACTGCAGCATAGAACATGTCCATGTCAACAACACAGTGGGTTCGAGAAAGATCCCGATGCTTCTCAAGAGCTTCTAGCTCGGCTTCGATCTTCCTCCGTTCCGATAGCAGCTCGATTTCGGACATTCTCGCCTCGGCAATGCGCAGCTCTTTCGCCACCAGCTCTGCTCTCGCCTGTTGCTTTGCATCAAGCTCAAGCTGATGCTGCGTGTACTGCGAGTTCTTGCTCTTCTCGTAGACGAAGTCGGCAACCAGCTTCCTGTCAGCTCCCATACCTGCCTTGTTGGCAGAGATCCCCGTGAAGTTGAACAAGTGCGACTTTTCCCCACTGCCCGGCGGAGCCGGAGCTGAAGGAGCTGAACTGCCTGTGGCCATGGCTGGAGCACTTTGTCCATCTCCGTCATGCCCACATCGGCGGCTCAGCCTTACGTAGGTAAGATAGTCTGAGCTTACAGAGGCACCGAAGCACAAGTATGCATCCCGTCTCGTTCTGCCTCGAGCATCGGTTGCCTGCGAAAGACTGCCGTGACGAATCCTGTCGGGTTACAGCTTGTTGCCCTTTGCGCAAGTCGCTGGGCTTTCCTGGCAGCTGCAGTTAGCAGCTTGAAGCTAACGGCCGCATCGGGGACACCGGATTCAACTCGAAGCTCGCAGCTCAGAGAGAGTGCGGTTTGCTACTGACTCCGACTGCTGCAATGCTGTCTGTGTGCGAACGCTGACCATTTCCAGGCACTGCTGAGCTGCCCAATCGCACGTCGTGAAGCTTGAGCAAATTCGACCTAGCGGAGATTAAAGGGACGTGTAGGACCGAAAAAGAGGCACCTGATCTGATCGACGCGACGCCTTCCTCAGACGGGAGTCACCTGATTTCAGCGACTCCTCGCGGTGCAGTCAAAGGGACGACAGATACGACGAGTCTACGACGAGTCTAAGTCCAGCACCACGGCAACGACAAGAAAAACAGCAGCCAGCTTGGGCTTGGACGCCACCGACATCGTGTCCACAAATCTTCGGCTAGATCCGACAGAGTTGCAGCTGCTTGCACCGCTGCAGTTACTGCAAATACCGATACAAACCCAGCTGTTGGAGCCCAAGAACCACCACAACCACCACACTACTACTGCTGCCGCCGCCGACACCATCACCGCCGCCACCACGACTGCGACGACGACCGAAATATACTTCTGTGACTACGACTCCTGCTGTTACTACAGGTACTGCCACAGCTGCTGCTACCACACTCCTGCAGGAGAACTGCCCACAGGTCTTCTGCAGAATGGAACCTTACAAGACGGGCAAAGTCGTGCGAATGGCGACGACAGCTCGAGGACCAGGGATGCTGCTTTGCCATTGCCTTCTTCCGGAATTGGAGCAGCTCTTTATGCAGCACCTGGGCACGTACGTGACGCAGACCTGGCAGACCTAGTATGACCCCTGAGTTCCCGACAGGTAGGAAGTCAACGAGCGAAATGCCTCAAATGCTGAGAAATCCGTGCATTCAATACAGCTCAACCTGAGCACCGTACGCCCTAGCAACTTGACCTGCCAGGCACATTTCTTTCGTCTGATCTTGCGATCATTGCTTCCGTCATGTTGCCTGTGTCTCTCCCCCGTCACGAACGGGCTTCTCGAATAGGTTCAGAGTCGATGTCTGCGCGGTGCCTGGGGAGCAATCGACACGCACGTCACAATTCTGGCACAACCCGAAGACGAACCATCTCGACGGAACACATCAACAAGGGCTGCGGCTGCTGCGGCTTGACGCACCCTGATCAGATGCCGCCAGGCGGATCCGCCTGAGGAAGGGGACGCTGCAGGCCCCAGGTACCCTCTCAGCCGCTCCAACATGCCTCTCTGCGGTGGAGGTGCGCATACCTCCCAGAATCTCCCAGACATTCAGAAAGACCGAAGGGCGCAACGCCGGAGCCGGAAAAAAAGCTGGGGGCTCTGCCAGCTCTCTTGCGACCCATCAGCATCAACTGGTGCGCCTGAACACGCAGGACACGAACGAGCTGACCCTCTCTTCTCCAGTTTGGGCAGAGGCGGCAGATTCCCTCAGCTCACTCTGCTCTGCCTGCAAGAGCTCGGGGTCGAGACCTGGCGAAAGAGAGCGAGAAGAGACGTCGTGGATCCCTGGTCCGGCGCCGATCGTCTGTGCACTGCAGCGGCCGTTCTTTTGGCTGACGATCTTCAAAAGTGTCATGCGCGAACATCGGAAAATGCTTCAAAGAATTGAAAGATGTAGACCAAGTGCCTGATGATGCCTTCGATGCAATAGCAAAAGCGAGAGTCGACGATGTCATCCACATCATCCACCTCGAGCTTGCTGCCAGCCCCAGATACATACATCAGGGGGATAGCAACTGTCGGCGAAGGGCGGCAGCGCGGATGCTCTCTCGTAGTACATCCGGACGTCATCTGTCACCATCAGGTCATCCAGGCTGTAGCCTTTGAAGTGCTTCGTGGCGTTCTGAAGAACGTAAAGCTTGGGCAGGAGGTCACAATCCAACAGAGAAGGTGTATCTCCGGCCAGAAACCTCGAGTCCACTGAGAACAAGTGAGTCCGCAGCCGTGTCAAGGCCATCTGCAGATTAAGCTTGAGCTCTTCATCCTTGCTGCTGTCCGTGTTCTTTGTATAGGCTGCAATCCCGGGAAAGATCTGTGACCTGTCTACCACGCTCACGAACTCTTCGGGTACTGCGAGGGAAGGTCCTGGGAACTGCTGCTCGATCCATCCCAGAATCTGCTTGGTGTCCACATGAGGCACACCCTCGTGGACGACGCACGGCATTTGCCCGCCTACTTCACTCACTAGCCAAGCAGGCTTGGTTGCCTCTGTGCAAGGCACCACATCGTAGTCAACTCCCTTCATCTTCAGCGCCATCTGAACGGAGTGCGAAAAGGGGCAGTCGCCCAGTGACACTCCGTCCGCCCCAGCTTTCGTGAAGAGTGTCCTTGTCAGGTCAGGCAAACCCCCGTACTACCGACAAACAGAGACGGCAAGAGACCCAAGAAAACTCGTGCAGTCAAGTCGCGTTCTGGATGGCTTCTCCGCCGGAACGGCTTGCATTTTGCACTTGAGCTCCCTCGATGAACTGACTGACAGCCCTTGCACAAAGCCAAGTTTGGCCTGGGCTCGGCTGGCTGAGCGCACAGACTTGGCTAGCGGCTTCCCTCTGCTGGACGCAAGGCCCAACACAAGGCCCCCGAGAGAAAGACCCAACCACAAGTGACCACTCTTGTCAGACAGTCGAGTGCTTTGTCTCTGACAGGTGCTGCATGCCTGCAAGGATGCCTGCAGGCTAGCTGTGGGAGGCAAAGTGAGCGGAGCTATGCTGAGCGCCATGACGGAATGCAGCACTCGAGCAACAAAGGCTGCAAATTGTGCAGATCTCGGGTCGTGAAGGCTGTCATCTGATCATGCACAAAACAGAAGTCGCATGATGAGATGCGGGGACCTGCGCCGTGCACTTGCGCCCACAAGGCAAGGAGATTTCCCTGGCTTTCAGGTGGCTTGGCGTTGGAAGCAGCATGGCAAGGATGGAGTAGGCCTGGAAACCAAGTTGGCGACAACGGTTGCAGAACTCCTGGCAAAAACAGTGGCAGCACAACGGCAATCATGGCAGCTATCCGCTCCTGCCCTGACCTCAATTCATTTCTATAACATCAAGATTGTTGTTCAATATCGGTGCCCTGCAGGCTCACGGGTCCTCCACACTCATTTCTTCGGTCCACTGTTGCTCCAGCGGCCCTGTGCAGAGCCCTTGGCGCCTTTGGCAGCAGACTCCAGGAGTCGCTTGGCTGTGACTCCAACTCTCTATATTATAGTGTGTTTATATTATATGATAGTATAGTACAGTTTTTGATAGTATGTGATTATATATTGTAGAATATCATCGTATATGTTTTCGCAAACTTGGCTTCCTGCCAACCCTGCGCAGCACTCGGACCGAATCTAGCCTCGCGGGGATTGCAGATCGTCAAAATTTCGGAGAAGGCTAAGGACAGCAAGAAGAACGAACCCACCATTGCAAGCAGTCTGCACAACATGGTGGAGCCCTTCTACCCAGTTCTGCCGCTCCTGGAGAATCCTGTCGAGTTCCTCCCGGGCTTCACTGGGCTGAACCTCAGCGCTGAGTCGAAAGATGGCAAACGACATGAACTGAACTTAGCTGGGCTCCAGGCCTTGGCCCTGGCCTGCGCCTGCATGCGTTCGAGAGGACGTGTGTGTGTTTGTGTGTGTGTGTGTATATGCATCTGTGTGTGTATATATGCATCTGTGTGTGCGTGCATGCATGCATGCATGCATGCATGCATGCAGACATACATACATATGTATATATACATATATATATATATATATATGTGTGTGTGTGTGTGCGTGTGCGTGTGTGATCGCGTGTGTGCACATAATAATATATATATATATGAGTAAAGAAACACGAAAGTCAATGTATACATATTCATATTACATATAAATATCAGGTTATGTTGGTGATATAATTCTTGGGATTGATACTCATAACATATTATCTACATGCATTGTGGTGTAGGCTTAATCCATTCAGCTTCTTCTTGGAGGAGACACCGTTCCTTCTTAGGCAACACGGGACCTGTGATCTTCCAAGATCACTCTCGATTGGTTCTCGCTCGGGCTCTGAGGCTTCAAATGCAATGCATACGTCGGCATACGTACATGCACTCATGCAACCATCCCTCGCTCCATTCCAACATACATAGATGGGTACGACTGTACATCTGCAAGAGACGGACGAACGGACGTACGTACCTACCTGCATACATCCAAGGAAACACGTTACGCTGTTGAAAAGGCTCCCCTGGCCCGCCTCCTCCATGGATCCCCTGGGAAGGCCCAGCACCTGCGCATCACCGCTTTGGAAAGGCAAACCAACAATTTCGGAGTTCAGTTCCGATGGCCTCGAGCTCATCAATAGTGATGACCCCGTTGTTGCAGATGTCAAGGAACCGCTGGAGTTGCTTCGCATCACGGATGTAGCCTAAAACCTTGCAAGCCCGCTCAAACTCCTCCATCGTGCATCGTCCCGATGCCTCGGGGTCCAGGACCGCGAACCAGCTCGAGTCTAAGTCGTCGAAGAAGATCCGAAGCAGGCGGGTGAAATCCAACAGGCAGGTCACCGCATCGGGGTCCAGGTCGTCCAGGCAGACTTCCCCCTTGTCGGCGGAATCCAAGGAGAGCCACAAAGCTTTCAGGTTGCCTCGAAAAAAATCCGAAAACGACACTGTCCATGCGAACCGGACCTACACTCTACGAGAGATTACTACCACTTCAGGCATCTTCGACACTGTCCCGCCTGCCTTGAAAGCCCATGTGGCGGCAAGCTTGGCAGAAATCTGTAAAATGAACGGTGCCGCTTCTATTCAGGTCCAGACGCTGCCGCCAGGCCCTCACCAAGTTGCCAAACCTCTGGTTCAAGAAAAGCTTAAACCTGCCAAGCATGGCCTCTGCTTCGGCCCGATCCTTCGCTTGACGCTCCAGGACACGCTGTTCGGCTGTGGGGTTCAAGGTTTCTGAACGCCGACGCAATCCCAAAATATCAAAGTCGTCTATGTACAGATCTCGCCTCACACCACCCACATCCGAGTTCTCCAGTCTTCCTGCAACCAGCCACTTGAACACACGGAGCGCATTGCCGGGATATCTCAGCTTCTTGCAAGAATCCACGAAGTGGCTCTCATTGCATCGCCCAGACTTGTCACTGTCGAACACCCTCTCCCATGCATCGTCCAGCGTGCGGAAGTTATCCTCGAGGAAAGATCGGAAGTCGTCCAAACCTTCCTCGGCAACCCGATCTATGTGACCAAGTGTCAAGTATCCAACGTTGTTGGTGTCCAATGCTCTCCAGACGGTCTTCAGCCTGCCCCTGTATCCTAGCCTTTTGCAGGCATTGCAGAACTCAGGAAATCTTAGACGTCCGTCTGCATCGGCATCCAAGCCTTGACGCCATGCCGCCACAAGTGTGCGAAACTTTCGGGAGAGGAAAGCATAGAAGTCCCCCAGCGCCTCCTTCTTCGCAGCAGCATCCTGTTCCCTGCCACGCTCTCGGACGTTCGGCATAGCAAAATGTACACTGGAACTTCGGTGCTGTAGGTCCAAGAGCTCCAGCTCGTCGATGGATAAGTCGTTTTGGTTGCCATAATCAAGCAACCGAAAGAAGGCTTGGCTCTTTTTCTTTGAAAAGCCCAAGTTTTCCATAGCATTCATGAACTCTCTGTGCGAACATCGCTGGTCTCCCTCTCCTTTCAGATGTTTCTCCCAAAGATCCTCCAGAGTGAGCTCGCGACGCTCAAACGCATCACAGAACTCTTGCAGAAGCTTTGCTGCCTGAGGATCTATATCTCCTAGTCCTATCCAGTGACTGTGGAACGACCTGTGCATTGTCAGCTCCTGCCAAAGCTGTCGGTAATTCCCTAAGAACCCCATCTGGCGTCCGCCACGCACAAGATCCGTGAACTTGATGCGTCCGGCACGCTTCTTGTCCAACACCAGCCGCCATGCAGCGGCAATGGACCCACAAACAGTCTCTGCCGTCCTTCGGAAGCCTCGCACCGCTTCCCTTTCCTCTCGAAAGACCTGCTTTCTTATTTTGACTGACAGCAGGGGTGCGCGGTACAGCTTGCTCGGAGTATTGGCCGATGTTCGAAGGGGCACGGGCGAGAGCCGTGATTTTGGCTCTGCATGCGGTTCGAGGGAGGCCCGTGTACCGCAGGAAAACAAGGTCTCATCCCAATGCGGAGTCCATGGCCTGATGTGTTGCAGGGGCAGAATCTGAGGAGACTCCACCACGTCTTTGCTGCCATCGCCATCTTCGGAATGCTTGCTCCAGGCTTGCCGACGAAAGAATCGCACTTTGCAGTGTGTCTGGGTGAGATCTACGGCATATCCGCGCCGTCCGTTGCAGATGTCGACGACGTCGTCGCCCTTGTGAGGCCTTTGCTCCTGACTTGTGGCAGGTCGCGCGTCGAGCACATCCCTTGCCCTGCCAAACTTAGGCGAGCAGGGTTCCATCGAGGGTTCAGCGCCTGAAACTCTAGAAGCAGGAAAAGTTTGCAAACCGTGCATCTTAAACAACCACGACAAATATGTCTGTCATTTATCGTAGTTTGAGAGATTGAGAACTAGGTTGTGCTGAAGCCTGCTGAAGATTCTCACAGAACCTCGCTTTAGAAACTGATTTGAGAAGGCGGCCTCGAACCAGCGAAGGACGGGAGAGCTACTGCCATCTCCGCTACCCAGCTACTCTTACGGAGTTGCATGCTGAAATCCTGTCGCCCAGAGTTTTTTGGCCCTCAAGGCGACGCCGCGTCGTCCTGCCTCAAGTCGGAAAGCAGCTCAGCCACAGCAAGCAAACTTGTCTGCAGAGTATGTAGGAAGGCGTAGGGCGAGGGCTCCCTCGGCTCAGGGTCAGGTAGTGAAGGTAGCTCTTTGCTCCTCGAGCTCGTGCACGAGGCCACCGGCAGCTGCACCGACGTCCTCTTAGAGATAAGATTGATCTCCTTTACTCAAGTACATTCAATTACACCAGACATCGGCATCTCAAATCCTCGAAGCCATTTAGAGCATCGATGCAAGGCAAGAGGAAGTGCCTTGCAAGCTGGCGATCCCGCTTTGACCATCGCATCTCTGAGTCTGGGAGCACCACACCAGCAGGGCCAGCGGGGCCAAGGTCAAACCGACCTTCAGAGCCAGCACACGCGAAACCAGGGAAGGACGGTGACGGCACGGTCTCCTCCGTCACATCATCACTGTTCGACATGGTGAGCACGGCAGCCACAGTGTACCTCAGTTCTCAGCATCACTTTGCCTGCACGCCGCCCTCCTATAAATGTAGCTGTATGACGCCATCGGCATCGGCTTGGGAGTTTGCTTGTTTCCGGAGCTTCTCAAACGGAGGTTTGCTGTGGCTTCTGCCAGAAAGCGGGCCGAACCGTAAGAAAATCACCGTCTATAGTCTATAGTGCCGTCCAGCTTCACAGCGCTGAGACAGAGAGACAGCTGCACCATCAAGGCCCTTGGACTCGCACTTTCCGCCCGTCAAAGAGTGCACTGTCAGAGTTCCTCTAAGAACCGGACGCCGAGGGCGCTGCGGTCGCCGCGTGTTGACGAGCGTAAGCTTGCAGAGCCTTCTCCTCGCAGAGACCAGACGACAACCCATGCCCCTGCTCAAGGGATTCCCGTTGCATCCTCCACCTCCAGCACGTAAGGCTCCTACGAGACGCCAGTGGCAAACTATCTTCTGCATTGAACATCTGGAAAAGAAGTGACACGGTGCAATTTTCACGTCCTTCGCCATGAGTCGTGCTGCCATTCCAGGAGCGAAGCAATCGTGCAGCAGTTTGCAAACAGAAGATTTGCAGGCGCACTGCTTCCTGTGGAAATCCACGCGCTGTCGGAAACTTTTCAGGAGGCACCAACACGCCGTCGCATAAGCGGGTAATGCCAAGAGCAGTCCAAATAGTGGTTGAGGTAGCCGGACATGCACCAAGCATAGCAATCCAAGCGTGCTGCAAAGCATTGCGAACAGAACCCAGACCTGATGCGAAAGGCCAATGTCAACCACTTTCATGTCCCGCGCAACCACCTGGGAGGCTGAGGCATTGGTGGCTTTCGTCACTCGCAAGAGCCACTGCCGATGAAATGTTTCACCCGCAGCTGCACAACATGAGGCAGCAGCTCGCGCCAAGACGACTTTCAACATCAAGTTGACCCAGCAAGTCGCAAAGTGCCAATTAAAAGAAAATAAACTTCTGCTCTGACGGACTTGGAGAGCAGCGACGAGCAGGACCCAGTCCAGTCCAGTTTGCAGAATTTGGTCCACCAGGAGCAGCAAATACACGCACGCGACTCGGCCTCTTCCCGCCAGTCTCAGGAAGGCCAGGGCACCAAACACGCCCCCTGCCGCGGCCTTCTCGGAGGCACCTTGGCCCTCCTTCTCCTTCGCCTCCAGCTTGCCGGCTCCCAGAGGCAGAGGGCGCCGCGCTCCGCACGAAGGCGCGTGACTCGGCCTTCCCTCGGGAGCCCAGCCCCCACCGCACGCCACTTTCGACAAGTCCGAGGCCCTCCCCGCGGCCTGGAAGCAGAGCTCGAGTGCAGGAAACTTCAAAGACTCGTGCTATTCAAGATGGAGGCTACACGTAGGCACCCTAGACAGCTATATTGGTAGATCTGGGAGTGACATGGGGCTGCTAGCCTTGCTAGCCTCACATGCAGGCTGAAGCTGGGCTGAAATGCAGGGTGAGGGGTGCCTCATGCGCAGAATGACCGATGATGGAGGCTGAAATGGTCTGAGAGTGGTCTGAGTAGCTTCAGCAGCTACGCATCTCAGTTGTGGCTGAAATCCCGTCGGGCTGGTGTGGACTCCCCCTGAAGCGACAGGATAGCAACAGGGATCCTGCAGGCGTTAGGCGCCGCACGGCCACGGCGCCACCCTCCAAGATGATGCCGGAAAAGCCTGCAAAAGGGAAGCTCTCCGAAGTGCCGTGAGGCTTTGCGGGGCTCCTGCCTTCAGAAAGCTGAGCCGTGTTGCTGCTGAAGGCCACGATGCAGCATCGCCCCGCAAAGAGCGGACCCTGCAGCACCTGTCGCGTTGCCAGCTCTTAGAGCACACAGGCCCGGACAAGTCACGTCGCCTCACGGATGATTCTCTTTGCATCTGCAGCCGCCATTCCATTGAAGGGATCGTCCATGAGAACCAGCTCCTGCCAATAATTCAAGGGACAGCTGAAGAGACCTGCATTTCAGCCCCGGCGCCTCTCGACCGTAGGCAGCACGGGCCAGAGCAACTTTGGCTGTTTCCCAAGAGGCCGGATCGTTGTCTGCATGTTCAAGACCCGTCGCCTGCAAAGGCGACCCGGTGTGTGCACATCCTTCCGAGCAGCTTCCTTCTCTCCTCTCTTCCCAGTAGTCTGCCCAGCGGGATCCCAATTCCTTAATATGCTTAGCTTCGAAACGGAAGAACTGCTCCATGCAAAGATGAGAACCTCGGCAGCAAGTGCGTTGGGGACAGCAACGGTCCGGGACGGTGCCATCTTTCCTTGAGGCTCTCTGACTCTGGACACCCTGCCCATCCTAGCCTTTCCTACCAGAATCCTCCAGCCATCCTCCCCATCCTACCGTGAGTATCGGTCTTGGGGTGACGGTGTTCCGACCAGGAGCAGTTGATTTTACTGCCATATCATGAAAACACTCCCTGCCTTGACAACTGTCTGGTAGCGGTCCAGATCTAAGCATCTGCCACACAGAATGTTGTCTTGCCTGAGGCGAAGCTGAAGCTGGTAATGCAGACACATCATTCATTATGTCGACTTTATTGAGCAATCTCAAGCGCAACGTAGGCTCCAGACAATGATCCTGGAAAAATCCAGGGCTTCGATGGGAGCAGCAGGGCAGAAGGTGTCCTGCACAGATCAAAACACCACGCTGCAGCGGTCAAACATGGCTCCATGCCTGCGCATGCAGGCATCTGCCAGCGGGCGAAGTGCACCAGCAGCTGCATACAACAAAGACGTCTTTCCTGCCTCCGAGGCAGCTCTCGAGTCTCCAACTTTGCGGTGAAGCCCCGCAACGGCTGAGCCCACTGAGTGCATGGACCCCCGAGGTACCCAAGACAGCCAAGAGCGCAGCACAGGGCACCTGCTGCGCAGCGCCAGGAACGAGGAGGCGTCACGCCCGTCACGTAGTTTCAAGACTGGGCGCCTTCAAGTCCAAGTCGACCAAGACTGGCCTTATGTCTCATGTTCGCAGTGTCTTGACGCTGTGTACACATTATGCCACAGTGCCACAGGTCAGCATGTCTCGCATGCGCCGGCTGCGATTAAGCTGCAAAGACTCGATCTCGCTGTCTTCCCAAGCGAAACCTGTGTCACAGACAAACCAGACAAGCACGTCCGCCCTTGGGGTTGCGTTCGCAATCAGCCGCCGGCTCCCAGTGAGATGAAGGCACAGGCCGGGGTCCTGGCCGCGGGAGCATGGAACATATTTGCACTTAGGACTTAGAGCTGCCAGTGGTCCTGAAGTATCGGCTTCTCCAGCTCAGGGCGGTGCAGGAAGGCCTCCGCGCTAGCACCGAAAGAGCGGCAGGAGAGAGAACGAACCGGCGGGAACGTAGGCGGAACGTCTGGCGTCGCCTCCACTCGAGCCAAGGCAGGCTTGGCGGTGCCAAGCTTCGTTACGGAGCTGCTGCAGACCGACCTGGGAGAGAATCT